ACCAGAGCTCCCTAGTAAAGTAAATACACCAAAAAAACTCCAAAGTCATTGTCATTTAGTTGATTCTGACTCATAGCTACTGTTTCCGCATTGGGTTTCTAAGGCTGTAAATCTTTATGGAAGCATACTGTCTCCTCATCTTTCTTTCGTGGAGCAGCTGGTGGGTTTGAACCATTGGCTTTTCAGTAACCAGCTAAATGCCTAAACCACCACACCACCACAGCTCCTTAAAGTAATTATAATACATTAAAATGCTTCATATACCATAGATCACTGGCTAAGTTTCTAGTTGTTAGGATAATCTTTGGAATCAGTAAGGACTCTTCAGGGAAAGGAAAGCCCTTCCTAATCACCTTTAAAGGAGCTCTGGTAGCGTAGTGCCTAAAGGCACTTGACTGCTAACCAGAAGGCTGGCGGTTCAAACCCACCAGCCACTCCTCAGAAGATGGGGCAATCTACTTCCGTAGTGATACTGCCTCGGAAACCCAAGGAGGGGTCACTATGAGTTGTGTCTGACTCGACGGCACATAACAACAACAACAATCACCTTTAAAGTGGAAAGTTGTCCATCTGTAGTGTTTTATATGCCATTAAACCCGAAGAAAACTGAAATCAGCTTGTAACATATATGTGTACCAGCTCTATGTCATCCTGTACAGCACCCTAAAGTAAATTCTCATGAAAGCTAATCAAAAGGGAAAGTGAAACAACTGTTTTATTAAATTGCTATGATATCACATTTTAATGGGATGTAATTGTAATTGGTATAAACTCTTTAGAAAGTAATTTGGCCAGATCAACCAAAATACAAAATCCGTATGTCTTTTCACTCACCTTTTCTTCTTCTGGAAGTTTATCCATCAGATACAATTTGTAGCTATAAAAATATTAATCTGTATGTATTTGTGCTTGAAAGACTGGGAAACATCCTTAATATCTACCAAAGGGGCAGGATGCTGTTGTGTGCTATTGAGTTGACTCTGACTCAACAGGGGCAGGATAGCTATGTTTTATACAAACAGTAGATTATCTTTTAGCACCTATGAATGAGTTATAAAACAATATTCAATATATTTATGTTCATATTAAATAACATATTTAAAATTTAATGCATATTGTTAAATAATAAGAATAAAGTACCAAATAATGCATAGTGAAGCCTGTGAAAACTGGAACTCAATGAGACTGTCTTGTTTTCCTGGTCTCATGAATTTTCTGCCTTTGACGAGGTACAGTTTTACTACTTTTCAATCAATCATTTTAGGGGAAAATATTTGAGTTTCACTTCTCTGAAAGGTTTCTGCCTTGCACAGGTTCCAGCATTTGCAGATTTTACTGTATATTTTATTTTAACATTTGTATAATAAAATTATATACACATATGTAAACATACAAGCATATGCATGAATAGATACACTTGATATGTATATGTATTACTTTGTATAATATATATGTGTGTGTGTGTGTGTGTGTGTGTGATGTCATTTTGAAGACTAAAGTGTGCTTAACCCAAGCCACGGTATTTTTAATCACCTCATATGCCTGTGAAAGCTGGGCAATGAATTAAGAAGATGGAAGAAGAGTCAATGTCTTTGAATTGTGGTGTTGGCTAAGAAAACTGAAAATACCTTGGACTACCAGAAAAATAAACAAATCTGTCCTGGAAGAAGTGCAGCCAGAATGATCCTTGGAAGTGAGAATGGCCAGACTTCATTTCCCCTACTTTGGTCATGTCTGAAAGGACCAGTCCCTGGAGAAGGATATAATGTTTGGTAAAGTAAGGGTTGGTGAAAAAGGGGAAGACCCTCAATGAGATGGATTGGTACAGTGACTACAACAGTGGACTCAAGCATAGCAAAGATTGTGAGCATAGTGCTGGACCAGGCAGTGTTTCATTCTGTTGCACATAGGGTTACTATGAATCGGAGCTGACTCTATGGCATCTAACAGCAAGAACAATATAGATAGATAGAAAGACAGACAGATAGGTAGATATAGATGTAGAGGTAGATTCTTAAGGAGCTCTGGTAACACAGTGCCTAAGATATCTGACTGCTAACAAGAAGGTTGGTGGTTTAAGCCCACCAGCCACTCAGCAGAAGCAAGAATATGCACATGTCTGTGTGTGTGTGTGTGTGTATGTATATATACATATATATATATAAGGTGATCTGGTGGCACAGTAAGGTACTTGGCTGCTACCCAGAAGGTCAGTAGTTCAAACCCACCCACTGTTCCGGGAGGAAGATGGGGCAATCTACTTCCTTAAAGAATTACAGCCTTGGAAACCCATTGGGGTCCCTATGAGTCAGAATCAACTTGATGCAAGGTTTGTTTATATGTGTGTGTATGTGTGTGTGTTGTTAGGTGTCATCGAGTTGGCTCCTACTCATAGTGACCCCATGTACAACAGAATGAAACACTGCCAGGCCCTCTGCCAGTTTCACAATCCTTGCTATAGCTGACCGTATCATTGAAGCTACTGTGTTAAGGGCCTTTCATTTTTTCATTGACTTTCCACTTTACCAAGCATGTTATCCTTCTCCAGGGAGTGGCCCCTTCTGACAACATGACTGAAGTAGGGAAGACGAAGTCTGGCCATTCTCTCTTCCAGGGACCATTCTGGCTACACTTCTTCCAGACAGATTTGTTCATTCTTCTGGCTGTTCATGGTGCTTTGAGTATCCTTTGCCAACACCACAACTCAAAAGCATCAACTCTTCTTCAGTCTTCCTTGTTCATTGTCCAGCTTTCACAGGCATATGAGGTGATTGAAAATACATCCTTAGGTGTACTTTAGTCTTCAAGGAGATATCTGCTCTTCAGAACTTTAAAGAGGTATTTTGTAGCAGATTTGCCCAGTGCGATACGTCGTCTGATTTCTTGACTGCTGCTTCCATTGGTGTTGATTGTGGAACAAATTTATGTGAAATTTTTGACAACTTCAATCTTTTCTCCATTTATTATGATGCCACTAACTGGTCCAGTTTGGGGATTTTCATTTTCTTTACGTTAAGATATAATCCATACTGCAGACTGGAGTCTTAAATCTTCATCAGTAAGTGCTTCAAGTTATCTTCACTTTCAGCAAGCAAATATGTGTGTGTATATATATGTATATGTCTGCTTATACGTGTGCTATTTGCTTCATAACATTTACAGGGCCCATAGAGGACAAATTGAGGTTCACATAAAGTGTATGTGAACATATTTAATAGTTATAATGCAAGCTAATAAAATTGTTTATCTTCTATTCTCCTACCTGAACAAATACAACTTCAAAACCTCTGAGTGAAAAAATATGCAAAGGTGGATAGGGGTGCTGGAGGGAAGTATGAAGTTACTAATGTTTTATTTGTGTAAAGCAGGAAGTCAAGGTATATTTCCTGGGTTTAAGAAACAGACATTTAGTGTACTGTTTAAAATTATAGATGTGACCATTGAATATATATAGGGAGTTGGATGAGGATGAGTAAAGCTGGTGTTTTTTATTTATCCTCAGTTGTTAAGAAAGAACTTAACAGATAATAACTAGAGATGGTGATGATTTTGTTGTGTGAAGTTCAGTTGATTCTGACTCATGGCAACACTACACGGCAGAGTAGAACTTCCCCATAGAGTTTCCTAGGCAGCTACTTCTT